CTGGTTCTGATCTGATAGTTGAATTGTCGGCAAGGCCAATTCATCGTAGGTAAACCTCGGACAAGAAAGATTATACTTCTCGGTCAAGGCAAACATGGTACCCGCATTCGAGTCGTTGTTAACGCTGTTGGTCCAGCTAAGATTGAATTGGTCAACCCGTTGAACAGAGATACCGGAGGAATCTGGCAAAGTGTTGGAAACGTAGAGCCCAGAAACGACAATGGTGAGCAAACTTCCCACAACAGCAGCTGTCGTAGAAAAGAACACCGCCCAATGACGTGCAATAATGGCCTGGAAGAGTCCAAGTACGGGTATCTTACCCAGGGAATTGCCCATTATGCTTCCGCGAGCAGGTGAGTTTCCTTTTACGAGAGCGCTGTAGGGCGCAAAGATCGTTACTGTGAAGTCGACGGAATTGAACATGATTGACACTGCCATCATGAAGGCCGCAGGCAAGTAATTGGACAAAGCGTCAGCGCTGGCTAGGGCATCTGGAGTGTCAACAAGCCCATCATGTCTGTTCGAATACTGTTGAATAACTTCCAGAACTACAATTGTGAGGATGGGAAGGGCGAGCGTGACCAAAACGAAAGGTAGTCCGATTGTGAAAGGTTTCCACCATCTGCATTCCGAGCCATCCGATGGTACTGAGTTCGACTGTCCGCGATGATGTTTATCTTTACGCGAAGGCGTTATTATCGGTGTTTGCATCAATTTAGATAGTCGTGACGGTGGCAATGGCCAACTTGATGCTTCCTGACGCTCGATCGTGAACGATCCTCTCGGCGGGGAGAATGCCGTCTGGTAAGAATTGCTTGAAAGGTGTTGCTGAAGAGCCTTATCTGCCAGGTGACCAGTGCTTCGTAACGAGTTTCTGATACTGTCACTAGAGGCCAAGAATGTGCTCATGGCAGCGATCGAGTCAGGATTTCGAGGCACAACGTCATGTGGCCTGCACAACAAGACCATGATCGCTGCGCAAATCGAGAGGACAAGCCCAACAACGATGAGCCATACAGACAGACCTCGTACATGGAGGCGAGTCTCGTTGTAGGCGACTTGTCCCTTCAATGTAGTATCAGCCGGTGCCAGCAGGTATACTCTTGCGAATTGTGCCATCACTGCCGTGAAGACGGCTGTAGCGGCAGCGGACTGCACAGATGGATCAAGTAGCGCTTCGATGCCTGAATGATTGTTTGCATCCGCCATGAAGTGAAACAGCGCCTCATTCACGTCTGTATCATTGTTGTACAAAGCATCAATGGCGCTTAAAGTCTGATACCAAACGCTCGTAAGATGTAAGTTAGTGAACCCTAGCTGCGTAGTGTTGGGTGAGCTTCCTGCTCTTGAGATACTAGCACCAGCTATAGTCCCCGCTAGAGCAGGATCAAGAACAAGCTGAGCCGGGCTGATTGCATAACTGGGCTTGCATATTAGGCCCGAGATGTTGGCAATGCTAACTTGTGAAGAAAGGCTTCCGGAAGATGCGTTTTGTTGGTAGCGCACATCTCCAACTGCAAAGAATACATATGCATCATCAGACGCTATTTGGCAGTCGTCATTCGAGGACATGCCGTTCAACGTGTACATGTCATAGATGAATGCCTGCGAGGGGCAGTCTTGCGTTTGAGGATCACAGAGACCCTTGCTATTTGACGCGATACACGACGCGCTGCCGAGGACAATGTCAAGGGCGGGACCCGGGGCATTGGCACTGACATTACTTGTAAGGCTGTGATGGATATCTGCAACTTCGCAGTCCAACCGAGGAAAGAAAGTTGACACGGTAGCGGTTATCGTTGCATTTCGTGGTATGTCGCTTCTTGGCTCAAGGGACTGAAAGGCAACATTGTTCGATGTGCCATTGGGATATCCTAGCCCGTTTTCTAGTATACCATAGTATGTGTACCACGGGGTAGCAGGGAGGTCCTGGGTAGAGGGGCCATTGTAGGGGCCGAATTGAGTTGTTGCCATGAGTGTGACATCATGGCTGGTTATAGACGTGGGGCTGAGAACGAGAAGACCTGTGGAAAATATTGTCTGTTCGTGGAGTCAGCAGATTCAGACGAATTTTTGACGAGAGGCCAACAATAAATATCAGTAGACATGAACCGAGATATGTAGCTATCACTGCCCAGTGCCTGTTATTCCATGCGGCCAATAAGTCGCTAATGGGGCCGAGGGAGATATAGTCGAGGAATAAGCTCGTTTCTGGAGATGCTGGTCGTCCTCGCATCTCCTTCCAAGGTAGGAGAATCTTGCAATAGTAGTCGACTTGCCGCCATAAACAAAGAAGGATCGCAAAAACTGGTTTCAGTTAGTATTTGGTGACTCATGTCTTTTGAGAGTTGACCGACCAGCTGTAGGTCCATAATTCCAGCTGTAGTGGCTACTGGAGATCTGGGTGCTCAGACCATGGTGCAGGTTCGAAAGGTGATAAAGGATAACCAAACCCAGGACCAGCAAGACAAATACCAATATGAATCCTATGAGCGTTGTCCGCCATAGCCAGAAAGGATTCCACATTGCCCGTCCCCTTCCCTCGTCGCTTTCTTTCTCATGTTGATTGTATGGCTCTGTTGTGACTGTAGGATTCTTCACGCTGAAGATCTGCTCGGTAGAGTCAAGCCCATTTCCTCTCGCCAGATCCGGCGTTACTGCTGATGATGTGAAACGGTCATTGGAGGATACCACTGCCGCCGAGAGAGGTCTCGCCAGACCGATCCGATTTGCGGATAGCTGGGAGTATGCCGAAATGCTGCTTCCCCGTGAGGCCGTTGAATCCTGTCCAGGGTGAGGGGATTCCCCGTTGTTGGAGTCTCCGTATTCCTCATAGCTGAAGCGGCTGATAACTGACACAGGTGAGTGTGATCTTGGGTCTCCAGTATCAGCCTTCCTTCGTTCGTGCTCGCTCATATTGGGGTAGATCTCCCGTCTCTTTACAGTCGCTCCACACCGTTAGTACCTCTAATCAAACATTTCACTCAACTCTTTTTCTGTCAGTAACACGCTTTCACTGACATTCGAGAGAGACAAGCACTAGCATTTTGGTTACAAAAGGAGAAGCTCAGCGTGAGTAAGAAACTTGACCAGATGCAGCCGAATCCTTTGTCTTCGATTCAAGACACTACGGCAACCGTAGCCGCGAAATCCGAAGCAGGGTAGACGGATACGGTTCTATGGAGCGCCAGTAGTTTGAAAAGCAGATGGAGGACTTCATTTCATTGTGCACGCACTGGATTACTTTGGTCGTCTGGACAAAGAGAGGCACCGGGAGCAGACACTTCGGCGTTGCTCATTTCACTATTTTCAGCCTTTGAACAAAGAAACATACTTCATGTGAGCACTCATCTCCAACCGAGTATACAACGTACAGATCATGAAAGGGTGAGAGAGGTCCAGTAATTCTGAGTGGAAGGCCAGGATAAAAGAAAGTAATTCAATATGGTGGTTATGGATGTTCTCAGCCTCACCTGCTTCGAGGCTGAGCGCTAGCGCCGCGTTAGTGGAGTTACGGCAAACTTTAAAATTTCATACAGAGTGATAGATCCTGTCACCAGTGTTGTTGTTTTAGGTACCCCAAGTCGGCACCTGTTCAAAATCATGATCCTCGAACGCAGCAGCTTGCCAGTAAACATTGAATGAACACCCATTGTTAGGATTACACACCGAGCACACTGCGTTAAGAGCATCGCACCCCGTGTCTTCGCTCCCAGACTTTGTTGAACAATCTCTTGGGCAAGACACGAAAGTTCGAAGATGCGAATACCAAAGGGGTAGGTGAAAAGGGATGATCCCCGACAAAAGCGCGTCTTTCGACGTGCGAGAACCCATCGGTGGGAGGTGTGGAGGGAACTGGAGAATTGAAGGGAAGATTGCTATGACGGGCTAATTACCGAATCATACCCCGAAACTATGAATCCTTACCGAATCATACCCCTAATTACTGAATCATACCCCTACACCAAAATTTGGGGTATGATTCGGTAAGGATTAATTGCTTGGGGTATGATTCGGTAATTTACCAAACTTGCTGTGTGGACTAGGGGAGTGAAGACTGGGTGTAGACAGGCTGGGGGGTCAAATTTAGCCCACTGTTAGCAGGGGGCCCTGCGACGGCCCTCCGGGGGCCCTATTTAGGTCTAAATAGGGGTGTCTGGCTGTCAAGCGCAAAAAAAGCCTGGTCCCGGGGGTGTCTGCGCTTGACAGCTAGACCCCTATTTAAACTTAAATAGGGCCCCCGTAGGGCCGTCGCAGGGCCCCCGTGGGAGCTGCTGCTAACACCCACTCGGCTTTCGTCTGATATTTAAGCTGGTAGGTCACCTATTAAATACGATCGGAGATATTTCCTCTTTTCTATGGTCGGATGGCCCAGGTCGCGAATTTTCTCCTTTGCGATTTTTGTCATGAATGGCAAATTACCAAATCATACCCCAAGTAATGGCAAATTACTGAATCATACCCCTAGGGGTATGATTCGGTAAGGATTCATAGTTTCGGGGTATGAATTAGTAATTAGCCCAATTACTGAATCATACCCCTAGGGGTATGATTCAGTAATTAGGGGTATGATTCGGTAAGGATTCATAGTTTCGGGGTATGAATTAGTAATTAGCCCTTGCTATGACGCAAAGCCTGGTTTTGATGTCCTCGACAGGGGAGCAAACCACAACGTGAGCATGGTAGACTGGTAGCAAAATCAACCGGCTGCAATAGCGGATGCGCAGTTGCACCTTTCACGAATAATTGTGCAATTAGTTCAAGAAGGGTTCTCAATAGCGATCAACGGAGTGGGTATGAACTTGTTGTTGGTAATTATACTGTTTTTGTTTGAAAATTTTCTCTTGGTCTTGACAGAACCTCATCAAGAGGCCCATCCAAAAAAGGGAATGGAGAAGGAGCAGACTTCTGACACCCAACTAAGAAAAGAGAGAAGAGTCTTTCCCGCACACCCCAACGCCTCGCTATCATGATCTCAAAATAGTCACCCATCGTACAGTCTATTGTTTTTGACCCCTGATCAGCAGTTCCACCTGCCTTTCCAACTTCTCTAACCTTTCGTCTTTCTCTTGCAACTCCTTCTTCAACTTTTTCACCTCCTGTTCGAGGTCGTCTTCACCACCGCTATCATCGTCCGGCACCGCTCTCCTACGCTTTCTCCCGGTTCCCGACGTCGCAGACGTCGTATTTTGCGCACTCTCTGGGCCTTCTTCTTGCGTTTGATCGGCGCCGGCGTCTCTGTGGACCCGGCGAAGATGCTCGGCCAGGTTTTCCTTGCGCGAGAAGCCTACGCCAACATGGCGCTTGCAGTCTGGATAAGGGCACATGGAAGATGCTTTGGGCCCGCCATGCTGGCGATGTACCTCTCGTTGATGGCGAAGTAGACCTCCAGAATAGGTGAAGCCGCGGATATTGTCGCATTCGGGCTCTTCGCAGACATAAGGTCTCTCGTGCTTGTCCATGTGTTTCCTATGACAATGATGTTAGCGTGCGCGTTTAGATAATTCAGATGGGGAGAACAGTCTGACTTACTTCCATTCACACTTCCTCGAGAAGACAGGGGGCTGCTGTTGTGCATGTTCCGCGTGGCTGCAATACAGCAAGCCTTCTGCATTTCGAAGAGGTTCTTGAGATCGGCGGCTACTTTGACGAGAACCCGTACTACCTGCCACGCTTGGAGATGGCATCAAAGGCATGCCAGAGCTTAGTACGTTTGGTGGAAGCACAGAAACATATGACGAAGTAGTTTGGCCCGAGGTGCTGCTGCCAGGGCTGGGGTAGTCTTGCATATCGCTCATGTGCAGCCCTAGACCAAACCCAAGGCTCCCGGCTGCCACTTGAGGATTTCCTGTATCCGCCGTTTGGGTTCTCTGAACATAGGGTTGGACTATATTGCTTCGGTCAGTGCGTTGCGGTGTTGTTGTTACACCTCCTGTCGGATGGAAAGGTGACTGGGTCTGCCAAGGAGAGTAGCTGGGTGCGTATGCCGGAGATGAACCAGGGTTGATGCCTTGGCAATAAGGCCACGTGACTGTAGAGGTCGGATAGTGGTCTGAGGAAGAGTCTTCTGGAGCAGATATATAAGGATACAAAGGTACACTAGTTGCGTACGATCTAGGCAACGTATTTCCGGGTGTAATAGCTACATCGACGAGGCTTATTAGTCATAGACCTTTGGTCCCATCACTGCGCGTGTGACTCACGATCATTATTATTAGCGCGGCGCGCAACGCCTGCTTGGGTTGGATGCAACCATGAATAGTTGGGATAAGTATTTGAAGCAGGGCCAGCCCAAGCTTCAGAGGGATCTATCCAAATATTGTTAGTGACGAAGTCATGACATTGTTGCCTGGAAGAATTACTTTGTTGCTGACTCGGCTGTGATTGGCTGCCAAGTGGTCCTGTCCGTAAGTCATCGCTTAATTGTGCTGCTCCTCTCGGATTGCGTGTTGTTCTTTTTCTATTATTGCTGCCAGAAGGTCCATAGAACATCCAGCAAACGCCCCATAAGACTAACAGTGATGGCTTGATGTTCCATGGCCAAGTGGTGCTTAGTGGACGATGACCGTTCGGCCATTCAGCGAACCAGCCTTCACCAAGGCGCTTTGAGTGTTGCCAGTGGAGATGCCCATGCAGAAGGTTTGCTTCAATTACATTAAGATAGTGGCGTATGATTGCTTCCAGCGCAATTTGTTGCAGGCTCCGAAGTAAGTGCTGAAGATTAGCAGCAAACTTGTCGCAAGTTAGTTCGCCGCTCAAAGAATCTTCAGCTAAGCCACTGCTTCTTCGTACAACATAGCTACCCGACGGATCTTGCAGCCTATCTAAGAGCGCACTGGTTAGACGAAGGACGTCCTCAAGCTCATTGACGCTTTTGTTGAATCCAATGAGGTAGAGTTCATGCTGAAGGAAAAGGCGATCTTGCGCAGCAATCAGGCGGAGGGTGAAATCTCCCTGTTGAACATGAAGTTCCAACTCGCTGAGAAGACTAGTATCTGATTAGCATCATCATCATTGACATAGATGGAGGAGACTTTGTCGTTACCTAGCAACTTCTGGCCCCGGCCTATGTCTTACTGTTCGTCTGACTGTTCGTCCACATCTTGGCAGATGGTTTGCAAGCTTTGCAATAAATCGGCCGAAGGTTGAATGAGATTTAGTGACGCTGTACAAGACAGTTAGCGTTATCGCCTTCACGAAGAGCTACAACATACCCATGGCTAGTCTTGCAACCATATGTCTTGAGCTTGGCAGGAGCTGGGAGTCTACATGACTCAACAGATGGAACACAAATTTTAATGAAGGACATCAAGAGACCTTTGAGTCTTTGAACAAGGCGTGCAAGTTTGACGGCAGCATATAGAGAAGGGCGAGTCATGCTTGGCTTGCTAAGTGCGGCAGACATGTAATTGGTGGCAAGAAAAGATATTACATTGTATGTACATTAAGAATACAAGGAGACGATGGTGCAACGGGGCCACAGCCCTCTTATGCAAGCCCATGCTTGAAGCGACTTACCGTACTTTCGTGACAACTACTTGCTCTAGTTAGTGTCCGAGTTTGGAGTCATTGCGGTGAGTGAACCTCCAGTTGTTGAGCCACAACAGCTACATGATTAGATCAAAGGTTCGCGCTTGTCGATGTTACATTTCTCGTGCTTATTTTGGACTGCGGTTGTTGGAATGGGAGGCCTTAATGGCCGGAAAGCACGAACTGTTTATCTGTGAGTCGGACCTGGGAGATTTGGAGCAAAGTAGACGCTAATTCTTTCACTAACGGCACAGCCCCTGTGGCTCATCATCCATTTTCTGAACGCTCATTGGAGGAATATACGGTTGACTATTTTACATGGAGCCTGCGTTACGTCTCAGCTGGAATTAAGCGGTTCGTGGCATGTGCACTGGAGAAGCGCGCGAGAGAGAGCTGACAAACTCAAAGCCTCTTTTCACCGACTCTTCCACCACCGAGGTCAATACCTACTCAGTGACGTTGTGTGCATGCACATATCACGCTAGCTGGTAGAATCTATATCGAGTGTTCAATATACGCACGGAAAGAGCGAAAGAGCTGGCCGCCTTACAGCGGAGCAGGACACGCCGAGACGGCAGTACGTCTTTCGCAACTGACAATTGACCCAGTCACTGGGCCTCGTATCTTTAACCTAGCAGCTACTCCCGTACCTAGCGCTTCGTTAGTTGGAGCCTCAGCTCTATCGCATTCGACGCAAGACACGAACTGCTGTTCTCTCTTACTGACGTGTAGACTTACTGACGTGTAGACCAAAACCTTCCAAAATTTGGACTTGACCAATTGAGTATAACGCATTTTGAATTCCGACCCGAGGGATTGGCTGCAAGGCGCCGAGCTGACTTCTCTCTATATCCAATCATCGTATGAGGATAGCTTTTCTCTTCACTCTTCTAGGACATCCATCCGAACAGTCAGAGTTTTTGACTTGAGCTACTCCATATCAGACTCAAGTTTCAGGTGGTAGGAACACACTGTTGTATAAGCGGGTACCGTCAGTGGATGTGAGACCGTCGAGCGCCATGTTGACTATAATGTGTGAAAAGAGTAGCTGAAGCCTGCGAACCAAGCCCCACTGGTGAAGGATCAATGTTCGCAAACCACAGCACCTAGCGCACCAACCTGCGCATGGCAGCTCAGATTGTTGTTGAGGACGAGTTAGATTAACGGACTGTGTCACCCTCGATCGAAGGGTTACGGTGGGTCCACAACCGTGCAAGCGGGCTCAGCTGTTGTTGTCAGCCCCAAGGCATTGCCGAAGTTGAGTAGAATAAAAAGTATAGTGCAATCGAAAGACCTGTGCCCGGTCTTTTAAGCGTTTGATGCAGGTACACTGCCGCATCTGGTACCCAATGTGCGCGAGGACTATCACCGTGCCACGAAAAAAGCCGCTGAGCCAAGCCACTCCTGCATTTATAGATCATGTGGTAGAACACTGCACGTTGCAAACTCAAGGAGTGTGGGCAAGACCTTTGGCAGAGTCGAAATCGTTGACAGGGCAAGGTCTTCGGCAAAAGAACTCGACGAGCAAGAATGGCCTCGATGGCTATGTGGACTTGAAAATATCAGTGCTCAATATGTCTTCCAGTAATCGCCACAATACGTGGGAGATGCCGCTGATCATATACAAGCGGTAGGTCCTTGCCATGGCGGTTGCTGTTATCACATTTCAAAGTGAGAGGACTCTTGCGATGCTTAGGGGTCCGGCTGTTTGACAGTCAAGATCAGTGACCAAAGCTTCCACCCGCATTAGGCTGTTAGCTGGTGAGAACGTGGGTGTGCTTGCTGGGTCAGTAGAACGTTGCAATGCTGACGTGATGAGAAGTGGAAGAATAAGAAATTGAAGGATAATCGTGAAAGTGTCCCTTCCACTACTGTCTCCGTGCTCGCTCTTGTTCTCGCCCCTGCTTATTTGAATGAACAAGCTGTTGTTCGATATCGCTTTGGAATTGCTTGACAGGATCATCTTGAAGCTGTAGTGGCAACTGTGAAATCTCGTAAAATTGAAATACATGCTCTCCTCCTTCGTCTGCAGAACGCAGAAGGAACATTTCTGCAGGGACTTAGCAAGCAATGCTACCCGACTCCACAACAATGCATATGCTCCCAAGTTGCCTGTTCAGTATCGCGCTCCAACATCCTAAGTCCCTACACCAAACACGCTCCAAAGGGCGCACTCTCCCTCAGATCCTCCACCAAATCCTCGACATTGCTCAAATGCCTCCCTAGCAAACCTTGCTTCTCCTCTGTCGTCTTCGTCCCCGCTTGCCTGCCCTCCCTCTCTCCACTACCCTTTCTCTTGCTCGGACTTCTGTGTAGTCCACCTCCAGCACCATTCGAGACCGGTGTCTCAGGCATCAAGTAAAAGTACAGGAATTCTACGACCTTCATCTTTACCTCCCTACTGGTTCCCCTACTCTTGAACAGGCTCGTAACAGTCAATAGCCCATCTAGCGTCTCGAATGCTCTTGTATTCGCTGGCGTAGCCAGTAATGTAGTGACGAGTGCGAGAAGGGTTGATGATTGGATTGCAGGACAGCATGTGGGGTCGAGAAGGTCGAGGAGCAGGTTCATGTAGATTTCGCGAGCGAAGAGGGAGCGGGAGGGAGGGTGGATGAGGAGGGTGCCTTGAAGAAGCTCCAGGGTTGAGACAATGAGGAGGTCATTTTGACCATTCGACGCCTTGGAAAGAAGGCGCTCCAGGCATGCTATCAGTCTGATTGCAACTATAGCCTGATGATTAGCATCGCTTTGAAACGAGGAGAGGAGGGTTGGCCAAAGTACCATTCCACTCAAACCCTTCTTGAAGCTTGAAGAACTCTCGGAACGCGGGGTCATCTTTTAATGATGACAGTTCTTTTGTAGTCTGCTTTGACGCCCCGCCAGATATTACTGAGCTTCGGCGGTCTGTGGGGGTTCTTGAGAGGCAGATTTGGGCGAGGAGACCTTCAAGTTGGCGGAGACCTTTTCTTATTTTCACACCATCGTAGGAGGACAAATAATCGAAGGACAGCGATAGCAAAGACTCCATTTTCGGTTTGATTGATTTGGCTGTGAGGTGATGTGAGAAGCGCTCCTGGGCAGTTTGATCCGCTTTTGGCAGTTTGTAAACATGGCGTTGGCGGGACATCAAGGATCCGCCCGCAAGACGGACAAGCCTTGTTTGCCCAGTCCGCTTGCTTCGCCTCTTCATAATTGGGAGCATTGCAGCTGGACATTGTCAGCGGTAAAAGCGATGTACTTTTCAAATAGTGATTCGGTTGGACGAGGTTCCATTGCAATGAGGCCCCTTCCGCCGGGCAAGTGATCATCTGCCGTGGGCTTTAGGCAGCGAATCACCATCAAGGGCCACAACTTATATTCATATTCATGGATCTCACGAGTAAGCTGCCTCCAAGGTCTTCTCGAACAATGTGAAATTTGCAAAGAAACTACCTAATCACTACGACAATGGTGTCCGACGCCTTCAAATCGCCCAATTCCATACCTCCCCGCAGGAGCTCCACAGGTCTTGGAAGCGGTCATGTCAACCCTGCGCAACCAGTCCTTAAGCCAGTTGCGGAAGGTAGTTGGATGTCCCACAACAAAAAGCCATCGACAACACAATCCTTGCCTTTGCCGGGCTTCAATAGCTCGGCTGAAAATATTGCGAAGCACGTTAGTGGGACAACATGGTCTAAGGAAAAGGAAAGGATTGTGCTGGGACCATACGAGTATCTGCTCAATTCTCCCGGAAAGGATATACGAAAGCAACTTATTGAGGCATTCAATGCGTGGTTGAAGGTTCCGCCGGAGAGTCTTGCGATTATTACGAATGTGGTGGGAATGCTGCATACGGCATCACTGCTCGTAGATGATGTTGAAGACTCTTCCATCCTACGACGCGGTCTGCCAGTCGCACACAGCATCTTCGGAATGGCCCAGACGATAAATTCTGCAAACTACGTGTACTTCGCTGCACTGCAAGAGCTGCTCAAGCTTGGAAATCCTAAGGTCATCAATATATACTCGGAAGAATTGTGCAATCTACATCGAGGACAGGGGATGGACCTGTTTTGGCGGGACACCTTGACATGCCCGAGCGAAGACGACTACCTCGAAATGGTGGGAAACAAAACCGGTGGGCTCTTCAGGCTGGCAGTGCAGCTGATGCAGGCGGAAAGCAGCAATGACAAGTGGGTCTACCTCCCTACTCTTTGAGCGTCCAGTAACTCACCAGTCGGCCAGGCACTTCGTACCTCTAGTCAATACGATAGGCCTGCTCTTCCAAATCCGAGACGACTACATGAATCTCTCCAGCAACGAATACACCGAGAACAAAGGTCTGTGCGAAGATCTCACAGAAGGGAAATTCTCCTTCCCAATCATCCACAGCATACGCTCTAATCCGCAGAACCGGCAATTGATCAACATATTGAAGCAGAAAACGACCGACGATGAAGTCAAGAAGTATGCTGTCAAATATATGGAGGGTACGAGGAGTTTCGAGTACTGCAAGGTCATATTGAGAGATTTGAAGGAGAAGGCTTTGGTGATGATCGAGGAGATTGACGAGGGTACGGGACAGGGGGCTGGTGTAAGGATTATTTTGGACAAGATGGCAGTCTGATGTCCAATTCCCACGTTGGCTTTCCGGCGATTCTGGATAGCCATATACCCGGAAGCCGCAGAGCTGGCAGGAGCGCTACAATGCTTGATATACTCGTAGGTAATGAATGAAATTAATAGGCTCTAAAGTAGCAAGAAAAACTGTAATGCACAAACACGCGTCTCAGCGATTCAAGATCTATTACCTACTATGCCCAGGCGCCAAGCTGACAGGCAGGTGGGTACTTAGGTGAATACATGTACGCGGCGATAGATTAGATCTTCCTGACTTTCTCCCGGAAGATGCAAGATCGAGCAACTTTCTGGATAAGGAAAGTATGTCGTTGGTACAATTGGGGAAATGCACAAAGCCCACCTCGGCGCGCGCGATCCCGCACATGACCTCGGATCGCGGATATATGCCCGTATGGAGCTACTGTGAGGTACATCGTTTGATAATCGACCACTACGCCATCCCGTCTTACTACTCGTACATAAACAGCTCATCCCTTGATGCAGCCCAGGCTTCTATCACAAGCAAGCACAAGATTTTGCCTATACCCCGCCTCCACCAGCATATTCAGAATCACCCTTCCCTCGAGCGTATATACAGTGCACACAAGGGCCTACACCATGGCATCAGCTACCAGTTTCTACGATTTCAAGCCTCTTGATAGTACGTCACATACGTCCTCAACCTTCTCCTTCCCCTCCACGGCCCCCAGACATCTCTCCCCCCCCACATCACACTGCACCCCCGCCCCACCCTGCTGACATCCCTCCCCTCACAGAAAAAGGCCAACCCTATCCCCTCTCGAGCCTCAAAAACAAAGTCGTCCTGATCGTCAACACCGCCTCCAAATGCGGCTTCACGCCGCAATTCGAAGGCCTCGAGAAGCTCTACAAGAAGGTCAAGGCCGAGCACCCGGACGACTTCGTCATCCTGGGCTTCCCCTGCAACCAGTTCATGCAGCAGGACCCCGGGGACAACGACACCATCCAGTCCTTCTGCCTGACCAACTACGGGGTCTCGTTCCCGGTGCTGGGCAAGACGGACGTCAACGGCGACAAGGCCGAGCCCGTGTACGAGTGGATGAAGGCGCAGATCCCGGGGTTGTTCGGATTCAAGAGGATCAAGTGGAACTTTGAGAAGTTCCTGGTGGGCAAGGATGGGGTGTGTTGGCCTGCTCTTTCAGCATGACGTGTGGTCGCTGACACTGTGTAGCAAGTCAAGGGCCGTTGGGCGAGTACTATGAAGCCGGAGAGCTTGGAGGGGCCGATATTGGAGGCGTTGAAGGAGCGCACGAAATCTGAGCTATGAGGGTCTGGCAATTGGGCTCGTTCGCTGGGGATTTTAATGGCAGGCGCTTTTCTCTCTGCTCGCTTCATGCTGACATGAGGGCTTCACGAACTTCGGTAATGCTAAAGAGATTGTATGTGTTGAAAGTAGTATTTCAACAGTATGATCATTCGTTTCAAGCCTTCTTGTGACTTCGACTCCTTCCTGAAGCGTTGTCCCCGAACCAGCCCTCTACAATGCTTTTCTGATGCTCCACAAGGTTACCGTATTGCTCCAGACCCTCCCTCAACCTTGTGTGCTTCCAGTCCAGATCCTCATCGAGCAAAACATGTGTGTAAGCAAAGACACTCGCATCGAACAATCCAGGCACTTCCTCGCCGTAGAAAAATTCGTCGTCTCCTAATAGCTCCGAGAGTGCTTCGAAAGCTTTGTCGCAATCTCGGTATGTCGCCTCTACATCGATTGTGGGTGACTGCTTGAGAAGCTCAGTCTCGGCGGCGGCGCGTAGTTGATGGGAGAGAGCGACTCGGGCCAGAGTGTTTGAAGTACTAGGATTGACGTAGAGTGGAAGGACAATGGATGCGAAGTTTGGAGGAGAAAGGTAGAGCGAATAGAGCTGGGAGCGCATGGCTGTTATTTCAACGATTTCGTGAGGGATGGAGATGGGACCTACGTAGGCGTTGCGAATCCGGTAGTTGAGCAGAGACATGTAAGCTTCGTAGCGCATATCTGAAGACTCTTTGGAGGTGGATTTCTGTTTCGTCGAGACGCTAGCCTCTACATGCTGATTTTTTGCTTCCAATCCTTCATCTGGAGGCCTGCCAGTTTTTTCTGTATTGACCTTCTTCTCGCGTACCCAGCGTTCGATGCGGGTCGAAGGGATTGGGAGAACAGCTTCTAGGGGATTCTTGGTGCTTGACGCCGGTAGGAGGAAGGGAAGAGCTCCAGTCGGTGAAGCATGGTTATTCGAAGATATCGGGACGAAATCAATGCCCTTGAAGATCATGTAGGCCTGGCATTTCTCCGTCAGTATAGATATAGTCCGTTACCCAGGCGCCAGCTTCTCTGCCAACTCACCTGCCATTTCAAACAACCAGGGTTGAAAGATGGTGCGCCAAGCTGGGCACCTTCGTTCGTCGTAAAGATCCAGAGGGTATTATTTTCGCGGTTTCGTGGTGACCGCTGGGGGAGCTCATTGAGAGAGTATATCCGTAAAGGGAATTTATCGAAGAGGCGCCTTATTGGTTGTGGTGTGGTGAACCATTGTGGCGAAGTCTCTCGAGCCTGCGTTTTTGATCGACTTGGTTTCGGCCGCTCTTCTGACTTCGCGTCAGCATCTTGTGGCATTGCTTGCTCAGATCCATGCTGATGCAATTTTTGAAAATTCGGGGTTATCGATCCATTGAATTCAGCCCTACGATGAACAGCCTTGACCGAAACGGCGCTAGGTGTCTCCGTCGGTTGACCGCAGCTATTCAGTCTGTTGGAAAGCCTGACGGAAGGTGCATTGAATTTCAAGCTGAAAGGTTTTGACATCTATCATCTTAGTCAATTTCACTCACGACTTTGGGGATTATCGCAGAGCCCCTCATCATCTGCTGTAGTAGCAGAATTGTTTTGATCATGATACTCTTCTAATTCCTTGTCAATCCCAACGAGACCTAGGTCGCTCAACGACTTTTGATCAGGCCAGAACATTCTTGCGAAGACGTTGAGCAGGGGCCTTGTGAACAGCCACGAGTTCGAAAGCTGGCTTGGGTAAATTCAACGACGAGACTGGACTACTGCAAGTGCTACTGCTGTCTTTTTCCTTCCTTCTCCAATTCTGCAGCACCTGTCGCTCGGAATCTTCCCCCAGCCGCTAAGATGTACGCCTCAGAACACCAAAAGTCCACTTTCGCAGACAAAAATAGTAATGTGGAGTTCTGAGTTACCAAAATCTTCTCATATTCCTCCTCAGTCAATTTTTTCACATGCTAAATTCGAAAAGACACCTGTCTTCATCACCTCTTCGACCCAATGATAATCGGCACCGTGGCAAGTATGACCACTGCAGCAGGCTCTTTCCGTGATGAGGATCGAAAATTTTCTTCTGGCCAAGGCTTGTAGAACCGTGGTCGTGGGAACGCTATTGGGGCCAACTCCGCCAAAGGCTTCCTAAAAAAAAAAATTCTTCAACCTTCATCCCTCCAGTGCGAAAGTGCGGGTTTGTGAAAGGACGTCATTGGCTGATATTGGCTTCTTGACGGTCATCGGAACCGACATTTGTGGACAACACACTGGCTTAGGTGCTTCAAATGTGTGCCCTCTCATGAGCAAATCATCAAGCTGTCTCCTCTGGATCCTTCGATAACCATAGATCAGCAGTGAAGAGCTCCAAAACACGTGGTAGAGTCTCCACACTGACCCCGGATGACCTACTATTCGACTGCTGCACTTGCTTAAGAGCCTAGATTTGGAGATCAATACAAGCTGTGTCCCAGGTGGATAAAAAGGAAGATGGGTGACATGGTGGCCATAGAGCTCGGTCCTTACGCCATTGTGGGGCAGAGAGCTCCTTCGCTGACCTCTCACGGTATCAGCCAAGGCGGTGTATAGGTTCGGCGACGATGACGGCGATAGAAAAGTGGCGAGAATGTGAAATGCCAGTTAGAAAGTCAATGGTCATGTAAAGTTAGGTGGCTTGGTTTGGGGTTCCAACGGAAGTGGAGACAATGGCCAGATTGTAGGAGCTTTGAGCATTGAGTAGAAGGCGACGTAACGATTTCTTCCAATTAGCGCACGACATATCCTTCTACTATAAAAGATACAGAATTGCATACTCAATGCTCATCTACCGTCCAACGTGTTGCGAATCATCTGAAATGTGAAGAAATTCTTTACGATGCTCAATCCTTATTGTTTGGGTATATCCAAATCTAATGCAGCCCTGACACGGGACGGCCCGACGACGCAGCCGCTAGTACCGCTTTGCCCCTCTTCAATTTACAGGGTCGGAAAGTTCCACCATTTCTTATAGTCCATTAAATCCGAAAGCTCCCTCGTCCCTTCTCTTCTCTTTTTCCGTTTATAAAGCAACTTTTCTCTTCTCTTACACTCTCATTACCATCACTACTTTGTTCTCTTACACACTCATAAACATCACTACCTTGCATTCTACTTCCTGAGCGATAGACTGAATTCATCTAAGCTTTGACGTTGCTCACCGTTGAACGCATGTGTCGCAACCAGCTCAGCTACCTCTGTCACCTTACACATCTCGACACCCACGCAAACCTGCTCTTGAAACTATCAGAATGCCAACCGACAACGAAAATTCTAAATGGGCATGGTGAGTACTGCCTTTCTACCCGCTCCCATGTGCAGAAGCGGAGCGGAGGCACATGCTTTGATCCTTCCCTACTGTCCACAAGAATGTCGCTGACGCTCGGCACAGCGAAGCATGCGTGCGTGGCCACCGGGCGACAAGATGCGATCACTTCGACCGATGGATGGTTCGAGTCAAGAAGCCCGGCCGGCCTTTGCGAGACTGCCCTCATGTTACAGGACCATGTAGCTGCACCGATGACAAAGTTATAATGATGAGGATTCCCAAGCGTGAACAAAGTCAGACTCTCCTTGTACCGCTGAAAGAGCCCTTTTTAGCGTTGACTGGTTGTGCAAATTGAAAACGAAGCTAAGCATGCGCAGGAGGAAATTGCAATTGCCGCATACAGCGAGTCTTCGATCCAACTTCCGACGATGACGGTGCTCAGCCTTCCCGGCGCCCACCCCGGATACAGGATCCATTGGATCCATCGCGAACGGTTCCCTACCAGAATTTTCAGCCCGTTCAGCAGTTTCCCGGGCAAACCGATGCGCAATCCATAGCATTTTACCAACATATTATGTCTCTTAGTGTATCGACTAGGACAGCGAATGGTCAAAGCGTGGGAGCCGAACCATCTCATAGCCTTCCTTTGCGAGATGGTATGCGAACGCAACAGCCTAGAGCGGAACCAAGCCCGAGTGATCAGTTAACACCTGCAGCAACGCCAACAGCACCAACCCGACGTGCTCAAGTCCCTCACCAGGAGCAGTCACATTCGGTCGCCCAAGCCCACTCTCCAACAACGGTCCAAGGCGTTAGCTCCCCTTCGCCAGTACGTCCAGACAGCAATGTGAATTCTAACCACTATTCACTCTCAAGGCCACAGGATTGGGACGTCGCCTACAATCAGCCTCGAAACCCAGCTTCTTATAGTGTAATCCAGCCTGCCATGAACGGTCACAGCATGCCTAACCCCGCACACTCCACGACAATGGCTGAGGGATTGCACTTTGAGCGACTAGGTTACCCTTATCCGCCCCCCGGCGACCCCTATCCCATCATCAGCGCTGCTGTGCCATCCGCAGAATTCAATGCCTTAACAAATTCCAACAACTGTCAATGCGGCCCAGGATGCACGTGCGTGTACTGTGCAACCCATCCATACAACGACGCGACCAGAGAACGTGTACAAGATCTTAGCCAAATCATGGCGATGGACAACTATTGGGCTGTGAATCCTGTGAGTCCGCCGCCATCTAGATATGGGGTGGCTCCCACAAATGGCACCAATATAGAGCCAGTGATGGGACAGGGATACCCACCGCTGGACGAGGGACCTTTTCCCTCCGCAGCATCTGAATGGACGAATGCGCCAATCCAGGGCCCTGAGCTTCAGCCGACGTTTGACGAGGGGTCGTCGGTCGATAATGGCGTTTATTTCAACGACTTCTCTCCCCGTACGATGCGGAACTCCGGGTACTTTACCATGGAATATCCCGTGAACAACAATTGCACCGATACTACTGGGATGTGCCAGTGCGGTAGTGATTGCAGATGCTCGGGATGTCTCACTCATCAGGGACATAATGGGCTTCCCAATTAGGGAATGTCCTTCTTTACTTGGGTCGGGGGCTGCTGGCATAGGTAAGTCTGATTGAGATTGTTGTTTCTCACGGAATTGACGATGCTTAGGTGCTAGGCCCAGATTGTAATGTTCGATTTTACAACTTAATAGATCGTCGTGCTTAGCGAAGGTGTTGGAGGGGTAATGGACAAATGGCCGGTCTAATGGGCATCTTCGGCGTATTGGAAAGAAATACTGCTTTCAAGGAAGATACCCTTCATCACTAGGTGGCTGGATTGGAGGCGTTAAAATGGAGTTTGCACACAAGGATTTGTGGTAAAAAAAAATGGCGTGGGCCTTGTGCTTCGCTCGACTGGTTCCTTTTCTATTTGCATAATAGACTGTGTTGCTTTGATAATTGTGAGAGACAAAGGTAGAGGGGCCCAGGTACATAATTGGGGCCTCTCTGATAATATTGTTTCTGACTATTGTCGTCCCAGTAAAACCCCGAATCTTCAAACATCCGCATTGCGTCCTCAATTCATGTGGCAAAAGGAACTACACCCGTCTACTTTGCCATCACATCCTCGAGACGCGTTTGAGTAACCACTCACGGCAGGAAATTGTTCCATCTGACTTTTCTCCATCCAACCTCAATCTCATGCCTTCTAACCGTCTACACCATTTCAATCACACATTGCTAAGATTTCTCTTCACTATAATCTACTTACAAGGTCAGCACTTCCATGGTCTGCTCCTCCATGGTCTGCTCCCTCAGCATTGATCCAGACTCTCCAAGGCTAGAAGTGGAGCTCGGAACATGAACTGGACTGGGGGCGCCCTCTCACGCTCTCGCAACACCAACGCCAAAGTGTCTCTCTCCGTCAAACAGAAGAATCATTTTGCCAAAGCCCGCGTCAATTTGCAGAACGGACAGCGACCATCTCCGCCACAGATTCAGTACTTTGACTTTGGAGAGTGGAAGCTTGAGAATGGAGTACATGATGACCGACGTTCAGGCCCCTCCAAATGTAGGGTTTCCAGCCAGAGAACGCTGGATCAATTTGAGAACGTCCAAGGTGTGGTGAGGAAGTTGCAAACTCTCCGGCCAAGGAATGAGGGAAACAAAAGAAAGCGTTCCCTCATCAATGACACCGAAGGTCATGTACTACCGAGCGGTATTGCTATTCCTCCAATCTCGCCTTCCATCATCAGCTCACGTCGTCCCTCGAGGTCCTCTCCAATCCAAACTGAACCCATTGCAAAACGAACTTCGAAGCGACCTCGAACCCCAACGCCCTCTACGAGCGATGAACTAGATCCTCTAGCAGTCGTTGACAGTGTGGAAGCTAAGCGACGCAAGCTCCTTCAAGAGAGCGACTGGGTCGGCGTTGAAAGGCAGAGACGTATGTCAAAGCCCGTCAAGATGAAATTCACGGACGCCAAAGATCGAGATCTCATAGGCAGACGTCGCCCTTTGAACGGCAGCGCCGTTCAAAACCGCTGGAATGGGCAGAATTCAAGACGAATGGAGGCACCGCTAATGGCATCTTACTCCGAGAAACCGCGAGGTCAACATGGAGGGTTTGCGGATGAGTATTGGAGCGCAGAAGGAGTGAGTATACGGATTGGCTCAACAGCCATGAATACGGGACCGATTTTAGATGAGATGCTCGATTGCTACCAGTCTCCAGGGCCAGTACAAAGCTCCTCACCCTTGGCAAATTCATTCAAATACGACAATACAGGACCTACACCGAAGCCTCAACATCAGAGAGGCGAATCTACCGCCCCCTCAAGTTTCAGAAACGAGTCTTCGGAGCCCTTCCGTAGTCTCTTCAGTCCAGAGGAGATCAAGCCTTCGGGCGTAGCCCAGTTGGTGGAAGCCGCGACTATCGCTGACAATGATAATACTCCCCTCGCTGAGGATGAGCTACAATTACCAGAGGACTACCATCTTCCGGAGCCTGAACGAGGGTTTCGCTTGGTCTTTGAGCAGACGCCTCAGCCTCGTGGTTGGACCTCAGAGCTAAACCATAGAAGTAGCCCAATCGTGCGCGATTTCGCTCTCACTAAGGGGCGACTTCCAGGGGCTGCGACTGAGCAATCGGCACATCCAGAAGATCTCAACGTGCTTGAAGAGCAGATATCTGAATACGCCCCAGTTGAAGATGCAAAATCATGTACGTCTCCGCTCAGCATTGCAACGTCTCGATACATGCAAGAACTCGAGAATCAAAGCTATGGGTCCGGAGGTCGAAGACTCTTCGCAATGAACATGGCCGATAAAGCAGCTACCACGGGAGACCAACCTGCGGTGAACATGAACAAGGCTGAGGGACAGCGAGGGACAACCGGTGATCGAGAGCGAAAGACTTCCGTGCAGCCCGATGAAATTCAAGACAAGGAAAATGTTGAGCCAACTGAGGACGAAGACGAGATCTGGCGGAGCTTGATCAACCTCGACGACATTAGTGACTTTCAGTCGAGGCAAGAGCAGCCTCCCAGCACGCATACCCCCCAGGCAACAGCAAGAGCTCTAGCGAACGAACAGCAAGTTCTAGATCAAGCATCTCGAAAGTCCAATGCGCAGAACGCTCCGCCTGACGATGAAATGATATGGCGGAATTTCATATTCAGCGACTCTGGCCCCAACGACGAGTGGGTCATCGAAGAAGCAAGCCCCGAATCTTCACCAGACGACGACATCTCAACCTACGATCCCGCACGCACCCAGCCCTCCATGGTCGCCGAAGCGGCCACCAGCCCCGTGAAGCAGAACCCACATCTGATGGACGAAATGCGCGACGATTCTCCGCCGGTTCTAGACCATGCATCGCGCCATGCCAACGCATCGACGAGCTCGACCCGGAGCCTTGGTATCTCTTCTACCACACCCCAGCAAGTCCTGCACTCATCAGGATCACCCAGCCGATCCTCCGTCCTGGCAACAGCGTCATCCCCAGCCATCCACGACAGCCAAAGCCACTCCAGCGACTTATACCTTCCAGATCGAAATCATCGAATCTCCAACCCTTCCTCCCTAATCGCCGAAGCATCCTCTTCCCTCCCCACGCACGTAATCCGACCCCTCTCCCCCACCCGCGGCACCCACAATCCCTCCTCCTCCTCCGACGAACTAGCCTGGACACCGTCTCGCTTCCCCGGCCCTGCAGCAAAGGAGAAAGTGGTCTTCAAGAAACCATCTCGCTACGTGGGAGAGAGGGCGGGTGCTCGGCCCGAGCCCGTGCACCTGGGCAGGAACGTCAATGATTCCAAGAAGACGAAGAAGACGAAGACGAAGACGATGAGTTTGGCGGAAGCGGTGGAGCGTGCGAAGGGGAAGATGGGTCGGAAGAAGGGTAAAGGTGGAAGGGATGTGGGACATGGAGACGAGGAGGCGGGGGAGATAGGCGTGGATGATGATGATGATGATATCGTCGACGACTGAGTCTGGGAACGAAAGGCCTAACATGGAGATCCAGCTGTTTGGTTGATTTTGGCAAGCAAGCAGGACAAGACGACACAAGAGATTTGCTCAACGGTTTGCTCCACCATCTTATTGCCAACCTAGCCCAACCAACCGTAGCATGATAATTTAATCAGGCAATCAAAAACTGCAGCCTGACTCGATCAATCCGGTCCACCCAAAGCAGCGGCCATCCGGTGTTCAATCCCAGCCCCTCACATCTCCATCTCCATCTCCACCACCACCACCACCACCATCACCTCCACCACCACCATCACCTCCTCATCTCACCACCACCACCTCCTCATCTCTCAACAACAACAACAGAAAAGAGAAATCACCAATCTCACAAAGCCTGCAGATCGGCCAGATCGGGATATCGCAGATCGGCCTCGGCCTCCAAATGGCCCACCCACCGCGCCAGGAACCCGCTCCCCTTGCCCACCGTCTCGCCGTCGCCCACGACGCAGAGGTGCCGCTTCGGCCTCGTCATGGCCACTGCGCCCCCGGAGGTCAGCGGGTGGAGCACGGAAAAGATCGTAATCACCGGAAGAAAGAGACACGGCGGTAGGAAGGAAGGAAAGAAAGAAGGAAGGAAGAAAAAAAGAAACACACACCATTCAACCTCCTCCGCTCCCCCAAAAACCCCACCTCCCCCGCCGAATTACTCCGCACCAAACTCACCACCACGGCCTCCTTCTCCCGCCCCTGGAACCCGTCCACGCTGCCCAGTTCCAGCCCGGGGAAGCGCTCCCGCAGGCCCAGGTCCCGCGCCAGGTGGGCGAGCTGCGCGGCGTAGGGCGTCACGACGGCGACGTCCGCGGCCCGGACGCCGGCCTCGACGAGCCGGCCGACGTGGCGCCGGACGAGGAGGGCCTCGGAGGGGTTGGACTTGCTGTCGTTGAGGAGGAGGGAGGAGGCCTTGAGGGGTTTCGTGCCGGCGGCGGAAGGAGGAGGAGAAGGGGAAGGGGGGATGGCTTCGGGGAAGTCGCCGCCTTGGGTGTCGTAGAAGACGAGCGGTTCGGTCGTGTCGTCCGTGGCTTGGACTTCGTAGGGGAGGGTGGTCAGGAGGCGGGTGGCCACGGCCGGGGCGGCCAGGAGGTGGGAATCGTACATTTCGTCCGAGGGGAAGCGCATGATTTTCTCGTGCATGCGGTATTGCGTCGTCAGCATGCGTTTTATGCCGGGGCCGTGGAGGGTGAGGAGGCGGTCGAAGAGGGTCACTTCGAGTGAACCGCCGCCGCCTTTGGGCTCATCTTTATCGTTGTCTTTTTGTGGCTTGGGGTTGAGACTGTGGTCCAGGGATTTGACGGTGGGCGGTAATTGCAGGTGATCGCCAGCGAGGACGACCTTTTTGGCTGTGAGGAGAGGGATCCAGCACTGTGCTTCGAGCGCTTGGCTCGCTTCGTCGATGATGACGACGTCGAATTGCTCGTTTCGCAGCTGGAAACCGCCTGCGCCGTGGAGGGTTGCGAGAACGACTTTGCTGCCGCTGACTAGGGTGGTCACACACTGCTTCTCCCGCTCACGATACTCCTTCCGTAAATCTTTCATGTCGTTGTAGATGGCCTTCCTTTCCCGACCGTTTCGTGTCTTCTTGATACTGGCCTGCTTCGCATCCATCTCCTTCCTCACATCCTTGACTATACCAGCCGCTTCCGACGTCTGCGTCAAAACGTCAAGGGAGTGGTTCAGCACGGAGGGAAGCAGACGAGCCGGATGGCCGAGCCGGATGATTGGAAGCTTGTGCGGGGCTAGCCGCTCGACGATGTTGTCCACCGAGATGTTCGACGGGCCACAGACCAGGATGCGAAGTCCGCGTCGGACGAGTTGGAGGATGAGTTCGATGAGGGTGTAGGTTTTGCCTGTCTACGGCCCGTCAGCCTCTCCTCCAGCCCGGACGGACGCATTTGGTGTCGACCCACGCCAGGGGGACCATGGATGAGCGCCACCTCTCTCGACGCCAGCGCGAACCTGACCGCATCCCTCTGGCTGTCATTGAGCGTCTGATCGAGGAACTCAACCTCCGCCTCGTCCTGGGACACCGGCGTCGGTGCATCCAACCCGAACAACACCCTCGTCAGCGTCGTGTATTCACCCGCCTCCATCTTCTTCAGTCTCTCCATCGTCCAATTCATCCTATCCGTCCCACATCAGCCTCTTCCCCTTCCCTTCCCCGTCCCAAACAGTAGACATACCTCTTATAAGTAACCTCATTAGCCAACTTGACCCTACCACCCCCCACATTCATCAGCGACACACATCCCCACCCCCGTCACTTGCGTGACAAAAAAAACCCCCCCAGACAAAAAAACTCACACCCACAACCTCCCCCCCCAACTCCCCCCCCCCTCCTCCCCCTCCCCAACCGCAACCTGCACTCCCCCCCCACTCCCACTCCCAACCCTCACCACCACCCCCTCCACCCCCCCTTTCCTCCCCTCCCCACCCCCCACCTGCTTCCCCACCCTCACCACATCCCCCACTCCCACGCCCCCACCACCCCCACCAACGGCCCCGTCCACCTCGAGCACCAGCACCGTCCGGCCCCCGATCCCCGTGCGCCGGCCCGCGAGCACGAGGTTCGTGAGGGCGAGGCCGGCGGCGGCGAGCCGTTTGGGAGCGTGCGCGGCGAGGAGGGGGAGGGTGCGGGCGGTGTCGGCGGCGAGGTCGGCGGCGAGGAGGGAGAGTTGGGCGGTGGCGAAGGTGGGGGGGTCGAGGGCGGGGGCGGGGGCGGGTGGGGGGGGCATTTTTTGGTATGGATGGGTGTGTGTGTGTGTGTGTGGTGAGGACGTGGGTCGTTTGGGCCGTCGGGGTTGCTTCCTGATCCTGGATCGAGGATTGGGTGTATAGGGAGGACTAAGGGTGATGGTTGAAGGGTCAGGTGAATCGATGTGTTGAGAGACAGAGCGTCGATCTGGGTCCGTATGGTCGAGGGCAAATGCTTGGCTGCTGGCGTCTAGCCTTTGGTTACAATGGGACTTCTACGATGCCAGTATTTTCAAGCTGTAAAAGCCTTCCGGATTCGAGTATCAAAGTCTACGAAGAGGACCTTCTACTCAGTCTAATAAGTGACATTCCTGAGTCTCCAGCCCACTCAACATTTCATGGTCGAAGGTAGCTGTATTGTTGGAACTTTTGGTTGGAACTTTTTGGTCTGAACTTATACCAACATGATCGATAGCTGCTCCACAGTACACTGAAAAATTAAATTGCTAATTGCCAACTCGGAAAGACCATCCAGCGCACAAAATGGATCATATATCTCCCCGAACCTGCTCCGTAGACATCTTCCGACGTAAGCAAAGATCAATCGCTTTCCAGACACTTAAGAAACTCACACAAGACGATAAGAGAGTCATCAAAAGAAAGCATCATCACGAACGACCTCGGACCGCGGTGTCCGTTGCAGCGGAAAAAAATTGCCTCCAGAGTGTATCATCAAGAGCCTGTCCATCCTGCCAGGTATGGCGTTGCAAAGGAAAATGCCGCCAATGGGTTTCCCGGGATCCTATCGAATCCTTGCATGGAATCCCCAAACCGGATAATGGGCCAAATCCGGATGGCAAACTAGATCCATAGCAAAAGTACTTCACACACAACCCCAAGGTATCGTGCGCAGGCTGGGTTCTGCGACTTCGTTTTATATTTCAGTGGCCATGGGGGCAGCTTAGATGCGTGTCTATTTTGTCCGGTGAAAAGAAAAAAGAAACTCATGGAAATTGCGATCCTGGATTCCTGCCTGGACAGGCATAACCGCTGGCGCGCAAGATGGACAACTTACTTGCGGCCGTAAACTTTCCTGGCAAGGTTTTCAAACATGGCATTGTCCCCGTGGTACTGCTTCAAGGCCTGAGGATCACTGAAATCGCGATTCCTGAGCCGGGAATCTAATCGAACCTGGTGATCACGCAGCAGCAACTCCTCCGGAGGATATTGCTGGCTTCGATGGGGGCCTGTCTGCTCACGGATTGCCATCGCAACGGATCCGGATCCGCTAGCAGAACATGTTGAAGCTTGTCCATCAGCTCTGGAAGTGGCCAACTTGGCCCGTTTCGCTACCACGTTCTCAGTAGGACTTGGAGTCCTTCTTTTCCTCTGGCCATTCGTCGGATCCTTGTGGGAGTTGTGGGAGGAGCTATCCGAAGGTGATGGGGAGTCACTGTTATTTGATGGCTCTGACCCAGAGTATCCATGGACTCTCTTCATGTGATCAAGTAAATTCCATCGGCGCGGAAAGCCATGGTTCTCGTGGGCGCGCTCGCACCCCTCGAATTTGCACAGAAAAGGTTTGGCCCCATGTCCATGCATCCCGTGGGCTTCCCTTTCGTGGCGTAGGAGACAGGCAGTCGAGGAGAAATGGGTATCAGAACATTCATTGGACTTGCAGCGATATGGTTTCAGATGCGAGTCCAGATGTTTGCTAAAGAGCATGATTAGTAATGGAACACAAGGTGAATGATTCCCAAAGACATCTCACTCGTAATTGCACTTGAGCTTTTCCGGTGATTTAAGACAGCCGTCCGTGGCCGCGAAGGGGCAATGATACAGGCCATCCTCTTGCGGGACAGCTTTGTAGAGAGGGTTCTCACGCGCGTTCCTACCGGCCTCACCGTCACTGGAACGTCGGGATCCATCCATGCCAGGATATGAGGAAAATCCAAAAGCCGGGTCCATCATCTCGGGTCCAACCCACGCATCCATGGGAAGAGGAATCCGCTGGAAAGAAGTGCTAGGCCTTATAGTACTGAGTGGGAAGTCAGAAGGAAGAAGATTATCGTCATTCGTTTGGAATGCAAACCTTTCTGAATCTGTTGGAAGATTGAAAGCCGGTTGGATTTGCATGGCGCCTCCAGCACTGAAATGTGGAAAGTTTTCGTTCATTCCAGCTTCTCCAATTGGCCAATCCTCATGCAAGTCCATGGACACTGGCGTGTCAGGTAACTGCCCCAAGAAACTATGTTGCGAGTACGAGGAACTCATTGAGGGTGCAAGTCCTGATGCAGGGGAATATTCCAGGGGTAGAGAAACGCCCACGGCGTTCTCTTGATACATCACTTGATGGTCCCACTCGGCAGGCAAGGCATACCCACCATCGTTGTTTCCAAGCACCATGGGAGGGTGTATTTCAGCTGGACCTGGGAAAAAGCCACCAGTGGTCATTATTTGATATGCCAGGTTGTTCACAGGAGAGCCATTAGTGTAACGTTGTTCCCCTTGGATGAGTTGTGTCATATCAAACGCATGGCTCTGAGGCATCTCAAAGGCCATGTCCATTCCAGAAAATTGGAGCCCAGCACTGGTAGCGCCCATATCATGGTAGGTTTCCTCTACTCCATAAGATTGGTACATTGAGGAAAACTGCGAAGGATCTCGCATCATATCAGAATATGGGAAATGGAAAGCTCCTGGGGTTTCATGTGCAACATTGGTCACAGGCATGTCATTCCTATAGCTGGCGCTGTCATATCCTGGAAAAGCATGTCCCGTAGCAGAATCCGGATTCGTCGCACTGTTAGCTGCCCATTGTGCAACCCTGTCTTGCTGGGCAATCCTGTCTTGATCACAACTCCTGTGGTCTGGCCTCACGATGGAAGCGCTATGGCTAAATGAACTTTGTTCCATATCAACATGTCCTTGACCTGAGGTCTGGTAGTTCTGCTGTCCAGTGGAAGCGTCCATTGGCTGGGAGCCTTGTCCATGAGGCTTCTTTCCATTTCCACGGGATCCGGCGAGCAGGCTGCTCTTCTTAAGAACCGTGCCAGACTGTTGTTTCTTGCTGGGAGCCAGCGAGTTTTTCTTGTGGTTACTACAGAACGCTTCGTGTCAGTAAGGCAGCTCGCCGAAGATGGTTCTCATCTCGAAGCAAATACAAAGACATTATGAGATACATCAATTAAGCAAATTCTGCTGTACTGATTAGCAAATTTTGAGCTGCTGAGGTAGACTTTTCTCCATTGCATACCAGGATAGAAGGAAATGAAGACTGTGTCCCGCGCGATCCAGAAAATTGGAGAAGAATCCTTGGAGACGTCTTGGAGGCATCGCACCAGTGGCACCAGATCCAAGAGTGGGATATCGTCCTGAGAGCAAGATCAGACGAAAGGCCTGGAGGGCCAGTTGAGCAGAAAGTCTCACGGCAGCTGCAGTCTGTATCTAGCACGCCCTGGGTACGCTGTACCAGCATCGCTGATGGACCATGTGTGTCTGACGGATATCCGAGACACCGGACAACCTTACCAGAGTCCCTCCTAGGGAGATGGTGACTGTAAGCGAAATTGTGGCTCCAGTCCATTCCGAAAATGCGCAGCGGTACACCGCCGAGAGCACTCTTTGCAGTGTGAACAGCAAAAAGGGCGCATGAGAAGAGTACCCCAGGAAGCCATTCCGCCCGTGGGATAACAACGAAATACAGACATGCTCCGGATGGAGATATCAGTGCATATGACAACCTCAAGGGGAAAGCCAAGTCCAAGTCCAGTTTCGTAACCTCTTGGAATGATTATCTCCAACATCGATAGACAGCAACAAGACAGCAAACAACAGAAGTCAGATCTGACAACGTGGCTGCAGCACCGGTGCATCACTGTAATCCCGAACCGCGGGCGCGAGTTCTCTTGTCCAATGTAATGTCCCGAGGAGCCAAAGCAATCGCCGCTTGTGTTGTTCATGACTTGGCCAAGAAAGAAGGGTGCAGAATACAAGAAGGGTGGGCCCTTCCGTCCCGCAGTTCGAACCAGATTTTGGAGAGGGCGTACCATGGAAGCCAAATAGTCGCACCTTCCCGGAAGCACCACGGGCCTCATGGAGTACCTCGCGCGTCCAGGAAGACCTCCCGCCTCAGTCGGGCGAAGTCTGGAGAGAGAGTGCTGGACGAAAGAAAGACGTAACAGGGTGAGGATAAGAAAACGCTCGCGCAAGGAAAACGCTGATCTAATATGAAGCCACAGGGGACTGAAGGGTATTACCTCATATTGAATGCCTTTGATGAGGACGGGTTGTCCAAATGCTGGAGCTGTATGCGGTTGGCAGTGACACACTCTTCTATTGTCATTTATTGGCCTTGGAAATACTAGAGCCTGACGGGATCCTGTGGTATCCTGATTTTCCTGTCACTCTGGGGTCCAGTGATTGTCAATCCGATGTGGGGGGGGCCAGTCAGAGATCTTGAAGTCCTTTTGTGGGATATGAGATGGCCAAGTTTGCAGAGTGGTCCTATGTGGAGAGAAAGATGTGACAGTACAGATGTATTATTGATGTTGATGTTGATGTTGTTGTTGTAGTTGTTGTTTTTATTTTCTGTAGTCGCGACGGAAAAAGAGGGTTGAGTAACAGAGAGACGGAGGATTTTGGCAAACAAAAAGAAGTGGGAAAGTGGGCCATGGGACTTATTTGGGGAGAGGGGGAAAAAGAACGGGAATGGCAGGAGCTAAAGAGGTAAGCGGGGCAGGCAAGATTGTGGGTCTGGAGGGTTGACTGAGGAGTGGGGGAGGCAAACTGACACACTTGGCACTTGGCACTTGGCACCACCATTTGAGGTACTGGGGGGGGGTCAGCCTGGGAAATGGTGGGAAAATGGGTGAAAAATCCTGCTTTCTGCGGGCATAGTGACTTCGGCCACACCTCTATGCAGTCTTCTTAGTTTCTTTCTTCTACTAAGGTAGTCTTGTCATTAGAGCAATATGCAAGCATATGTCCCCCCGGGTCGCAACTTTGGTTAGAGTGAATTGAGAATAGCCTACCTACCTAGGTAATGCTTTTCCACACACCAAGGAATTCTCGACTAAGGCAATTCATTAAGGTACCTTAATCATGGTTAGACCAGCTAGAAAACATTGAGATGATTAAAATTAAATTAAGTGCATCATCATCATTGGCTACGTCGGTGGCTCTACTGCAAGCATGCATTAATTAATTACGAGGGTACTTATTATTCACTAGCCCCAATTTATCCTGGTCTATCTTGCCACACTACCTTATCCCCCCGGCTGCCCCTTGTCGCGTGGACCTAAAATCCCTAAACAAAAACCAAAAACCAAAAAAAAATAAAAAAATAACATTGCTTCTCCCAAATTCTAAAATGCTTTCCGTGACGTGTCAATCATTACCCTAAGTAGTTGGCTCCGAACTAAACCCCTCCGAGGTTAAGCTCCAAACCTTGATTCATGTGACAGGGGCCGACCACTTCCTCTGCATCTGCACCCATCATATGAAATTGGCTCACTCATCTCGCTTGTCTCACGCCAGACCTGCGACGGCACGGCAACACTCTTCCCACGCGTGCCAAGTTAATGCCAAGTCAAACCATTCGCTGCCATCCAACGAGAATTTGCTTCCTGCTAGTTACCCGACTGCATGAGGTTATTCACATCCGGTGTACGTACTCGATCCTACTACCTATCCCCGTACATGAAAAGTGAACCGCTGGCTCTCCTGCAGTGTGATAGCCAAAGAATCCCCGTACCAAAGCACCCACTAGAGCAACCGAAAAAAAATTAAAACAGAACAAAAAACCCTTTCTTCCACCTTCTGCTGGAGAAGGAGGAGGAAGGGAAGAGGAAATGGGCCTACGGCAAGCAAAAAGATCTTTGGTAGGGAAGTGGGGGAGGAATGTGGAGGAAGCTCGAGCCTAGCTAATGCAGACCGCGTGACAGAGGTACAGATGTTCCGATAGCCCGCGGGGAGCAGGAGTCTTGTGCTCCATGCAGATTCGCACGGGTTCATACAACCAATCGCTTTTCACACCCCCCTAGCCGTTCCGGTCTGGCGGTTTTGCGACTAGGTTCATTGCGTTGTGACTTACTCATCATTACTCTTCGGAGACTTGGTTCAGCCGTGCGAGCGCTTTCGACGGCAGCAGAGGCATTCAATACGGTTAGGGACGGGATCCTTTCGTTGGAAGTAAAAGACATTCCTTCAACGGGTTAAGAGATCATCTCGTGAACGACCGGGAAAAATGCGTTCGGATCACTCATTCTCTGGGCCCCATTCTATGGTAAGGGCTGTGCATCGGTGGAGACTGCTTGCGGTCATCTTCGGTCTATCAAATCCAAGTCACTCGGGGCAAGTGTTGCGAGATGTGATCAAGTTCCCTACGGCTGTGCATCAATGGGGCCTTGTTGAACCGGTCATCTTCCATCCATCATCGAATTGTAGCAAATGTGCACAACTTCTGCAAGCTTTCATGACTTTCCTACACCTATGCATCAATGGCGTCTCATTGATTCGGTCCTCCCACCTTCGTCGTCGGATCGCAATAGATGTAGGCCGCTGCAAGCTGTAACGAACTTCCGGGAAAAGCAGTCGCATTCTCGTGGGATCACATGGCTCAAACTCTCCCCCGATCCACTTCACTGCCGTGAGACATTCGTCCTTCCAGAAGTCCGGAATCTAGGGACCCGGCGGAAGGGAGACGAAGGCTCAAGTTGCCAACTCCGAAAGAGGAGAAGCGTGACCAACAAATCAAGATGTATGCCCTCGTCTGGTATTCGGGCAGCTGTCCAGGATAAACATTCTGCCTGGTTACGGGTTCAAAGCTTGCCGCCAAAGGCCAGCAGGAGGGGCAGGTGATTCTCACGCCATTCTCAGCCTCGATTACATCCACGGTGTTTGCATTGCGGGCATCATTCTATCGGGGGGGGGGGATCCAGAGCTAATGATTGATTATCAAGATGACACACTGGGAGCCAAACCCATTGTTATCGTAGGTGTTGCTTTCGCTCTCCGGCAACGAAACGTTGTGGCTGACATTGTAGCCCCGGCGGCAGTGTCATTGGCTGCTCTTTCTTACACATCATGCATTCTGCGACTCCGATATCCACTCAACCGTCCTACTGGAAGCCAGTGAAATCGCTGATGAGCTTTCAGGGAAAGCGAGGGGTCTTCTTGCCAAATGGGCAGCACCCGAGTGTCTGGCACCATTAAGTTTCACGGCTCATGCCGAACTGGCTGAAAAACATGGAGGTGGCAAGAGGTGGGGTTACAGAAATATCAACTGCGCTGAGATCGAATTGCAAGCCCAAGATCTTGATGCAACGAAAGGAACTACTCATGTCGTAAAGGATGCTTCTTTTCAACTTTCCACAAGGCACTAACCATGCACCTCCAGAGTTGGGCTGGCTGCTCCCTGGGAGTGTCAGGTCTTACGCAGAGGTAGGGAAGCCGAATGACTCCGGTCAAGTGGAACCGGTACTTGTTTACGGAACGAAAACGCTCGCTAATTTAGCAGAGGAAAAGGGCGCGAGTCGTTGGATCTGGTCCCGGTATCGGTTATGCAGACGACAAGAAGCTCGTCAAATCGGTCGAGCACCGAAAGGTTCTGATGCTACGGATGTCGTGATGGCGGCCGGTCCGTGGGCACCCTAAAATATTCCCCGCAATATGCCTCGAAACACCGAGAGGATACAGTGTAACTGTCCGGCCATCACGAGATCTGTCCCCCTAGGTTCCAATTATAAGGACCGCCTTCCCCCCCCCCACCCCAAATAAAGATCTGACATTCACATTTCACGGGAGATCTATCCTTGGACAGCATTTAGACTCTATGACTCTGATACCGTCTATGCTTGTGACCCAGACGACTGCAAGGTGCCCTTACCAGCTACCAGCGGTATGGTGGAAGTCGACAAGCATAGCTGCAAGAAAGTTTGGAGCTCTTTCAAGAGCGTGATGCGCAGGAGTTAGGTACATAACGGCCAAAGCATTACGAGACGATATGCGACAAGCCACAGATCAGGCCCCACAGATGAAGAGAAGGTGGTGGGCCGATGGCAAGAGCTACGGGCATCGATGGTCTTTGGCTGGCTACCCCTCACAACAAATGGGACACACAGAATGGGACATAGAATGGGGAATTAGAGTGGGCCAGAGATTAGGTTAGTG